TACGGGCTCATCTCAACGGTGCTTCGCACCGGCGTAGATTGCGACAGGCCGTGTGCGGCTATGACCGGACGCGCCATGAAAAGTCTGCTGCGACGCGGACACTCGCCGAGCAGCCGTCGCAGGCGATTCCCGATCTCTATCCGACGCAACCCTACCCGGACTCGAAATGCGGAAAGAGCCTTATCGGGACAACGTGGACAATCTAGGGTCGTACCCCTTTGTCGCAAGGATCGGATAACAAGTATTCCGCTTGGAAGGGTCGAGGATCGATACAAAGTGTCTCAGAAAGTCGTCGCTTTTCTATCTCTGTAACGTCGACGACGGCAGCTGCAGAGCTTTCGCTGACAAACGTTCGCGTGGGGCTCGACTTTTCCTCTTTTTTCTTTTCAGGGAATCGTAATCGTGCCGAAGAGCGTTCGGTTGAAGACTCGACATTTTCAAGAGAATTTATCATTATTTGTTTAATCATCGTCGAGAACACGCACACGGCTTCTGCGACACCGTGTATACGAGCGAATCTCTCGTTCCTGTTCGGCAAGATCAGAGAACGAGAGTGTGATAATTGGCTAGATCCGCTTTGTCACATGAAGCATGCGCTTCCTCGGCATGTTTAGCCAAAAGTTCGCTTTTCAGATGTGTTAACGGGTGAAATGAGATACTCGTGCAATGGCGTGATTGTTAGTGAGCGTACAGTATTAACTACAGCTACATGCGCACTCGCGAAGTCGGAGAGATACAAATTGTACGTACATATATTAGTATATACATATGCGTCGAATATATATACATATATATAGATATACATAACAGTCGAAAAACACAGTATATAACGACGATCTCGTTGCTATGGATTTTCGATTGTACAACAATCTCTCTCGTGTCGTCAGTCTGATCAGCATGCAACAATTACGACAATCCTTTGTTCGTGTTTAGATGCTCTGTGCTTATTGGTGAATATAATACAGAGTCTGATCCGGATTGCAACGAATTGTTTTGCGGGCACAAAACCAGCAGCCGCGACATATCGTACGTGATCAAACACCCAGGCTATGACCCCGCGACTTACTCCAACAACGTAGCCTTGCTTCGCCTGAAGAAAACTATCGACTTCAACAGGTATGTACAAAGCTCCTCGATCAGCGTATGACGTACACACTCGAAGAACGGCCGGGTTCGCTTTGAGAAAAAGAGAAGCTGTCCAGTCCCTCTCAAGAAATATGCAATACATTATCCGGTCTTTAGCCACAGCGCAGCCTATATGCTTCATACCGGAGGACAGATACGTTAGCTTGGGAAGCACATGCACTGTCGTCGGATGGGGAAGATTGTCCGGTCAGAAGGGTATCGTATCGATCGAAACGAAACTACCGAAGCGTAAACTGTAGTAAGCGTAAGAGTGTGGATGTTAAGTACAACGTCCATATGCTGCGACCCTGTTGTAGCGCAGCCAACGACGCAACAGTCATTACAGCTAAAACTCGTACCTAAGCAGCAGTGCTCGGACTACCTGAGCCAAGGTCTGTCCGTCGAATTATGCGCCACAGGAAGCTGCGAACCCTGCTCCGGGTACAGCGGCAGTCCTATGTTGTACAAATATACGGACACATATTTCCTGGTGAGTCACGAGCACGAGCACATGTACACTACGACGAACGTGTGCGGCTCACGCGATCGTGTGTGTAATATATATGCGTAACTTCTTTTTTTCTGTTTGTCTGTTTGCTTGCTTTCGTCAGGTCGGAGTCCTATCATATGGGTCTAGCTGCGACTCAACCACCATTTTCCCGTCTACATTCGTGAACGTACAGAGGTACACGAGGTGGATCTTAGATAATTATTGAGGCGACTGTTCTTTAAAGTTTCATCAAAGACCTCACGGTAATATCGAACAATCGCTATGTATTGCCTCTGCACGAGTTTCTACTTTTCGTAAATTTTATCCGAGATAATGTATTATTTGTGTTTGAATATATTTCAAATATTTGCCGCGTGTCATTTCCTTAGCCTCTTCTAGACCCAGCTGATAAGCTAAATCGTGCAGTCTTTTCACTTCCGAGATAAGCCCGGTCATTGATAAATTACCCAGTTCTGCAAGAAAACATTTCATGGTATTTAGCGACATAGCATGAAGAGTGATACATTAATGGCACATCAACTCACGGTGCAAGTGATTCATGTCGTCGGTTGTAAGACTCGCTGTCCAAGAACACGGTTCTGTCTGCGGTGAATTTTGAGCGACAAACTCGTGTACACCTGGAACTTCATCGCTCGCTAACATATACAATGTATTGTGTATGTAACTCTGAAAAGTTGCTCTAACTTTGAAAAAAATATACTTACTTTGCTCAGGCCATAAATCAGGCGACGCTCTGTCTAATTTTTCTAGACTCATCAAATTCTCCTCTACACAAGATAGATCTGTAGAACAGAAACCCACTGTCATATTTTATTTTAAATCACTGCTGTTATGTTGTCAAAAACATTGTATGTCTCTCTTGTTATTGTATTACTTCAAGCACAAAATATGAAAAAGACTAATGTAAAATATTGTCTCAAGTTTAACCCAATAAGATATAAGACATATGAAGCTTAAAAAAGATCTGCTATACATATTTCACCGAGATGCTCTCGGAATATGTTATACTTTATTTCCTTTTTTATCATTTACAAGGCTCAAACTTACCAGTCTGATCCGTTGTTTCATCGGTGGCCATGATAATGTTCGAGTAAATTGACAATTAATCCAAGTATCTCTTGGAGAAATTCTCTTCGGCGATCGACCGATACACAAATCACAACAAAGTGACAGCTGATGACGTAACAATAGGACAGTCACACACGATTCTAGTCTATTTTTACTACAGGAAGAGCTCGACACTCGAGCAGGACGCAGCGTCACCCTACGTATCGGTCCTTTGAATCGCCGTTCCTTGCGCAACTCCTTGGTTAACTCGATCTGTTGCTGCAGGATGTAGACATTTTCTGCCTTCCGACGCTCTTGTCGTTCGATGTCTCGCACGACTCCCAAATGAAGTTGCTGCCTGAAACACCACGCGCACATAAGCCAATGCTCAAATACGCCGGCTGATTCGACGCTGATTTACCTGTCGTACGACTGCTTATAATGCACATATGCTATTATTCCAAAGGACACGCAGCAACACGAAACGAAGGTGACTTTGGCCGCTATTGACATTCTTCCTGCCGAGGACGGCGATCGCTTGCGCCGCAAAGTTGTCACACATGGTCCTGCGAGCCATGCTAAACAATCGATTATAATCGATTCGCGCGGAGCGGCAACGCGTGCACCGTTATTTTTGAATTTTGCCAATCTGGACGAGAATCTGGAGAGAAACAACGGATTATATAGCTTTGAATGAACTATTTTAAATGTCTCTCGATATCGACGGGGTAGCAGAGAGTAACCTGAGAGCGGCCAATACGACATTTTCTACGACACCGACTTTCCGCACTGGGAAAGGACGCCATCTGCATCCATTTTAAGAGGGGAACTACGATAGTACATCCACTTTCAGGTCTCGGTGGTAAAATCTGCATATGGTGGAAGTCCATGCTACATCCACTTTCAGGCGGTTTATGTCCGTGCTGCAATGACAGTTGCCATCTCTATGCCAGACTGTGCCCGTGTGGTCTAAAAAGAGCGGGGGAGAGGGGGGGAGGAGCAGAAAAAATAAAAGTACGTATTAAATGTTAAATCTTCGAATATATATTGCCGTATCAAACTCTCTTCTATAATAAATAATTTGACATGTATGGAGACGCATGATGTATCGTTGTCCGCGTCCCGTTCACTTCGTCTTGTTTTTTAATTCAGCATCCCGTCCGCTCCGGACATTCGCTCGTGGCACTGACAGTGGCCGTCGGTGAGCATTCGATCCGCTCGGAGGAGCACGTGTTATTCACGTAATTAACGTGACGAAATTCCGATTATAAATATCCCGCGAGTCGACGAAATATTTGAACTTTAAAAAAAGCATCAAAGAAAATCACGTTAATATTGTCATGGGTAAAATCTCACCCCGGTATATATTTTCTTATTTTCGAAATAAAAAAAGCCAAACGAATGCAATTAAATGTTATTTATCATCATTGAATATTTAATGAAAAGTAGAAGAGTTATTGTCCGCAGCGGATAATCTCCCTGTATAAAATGTCGAACTGAAACATATTAAAAAGTATTGACATTTTGAATACGTCTGAATTCTGCTTTCTGATCCGAAGAAAGGGAAAATAAAAAGTATTAGTTCCCATTAAATTTCACCGCGCTAAATGCGAGATGGCAGTAATGAATGCTTCGCATTAACAAGAATTCAATTCGTTTCAAATATGCCTTGTATTCAATCGCAATCGATAATTTTTAAATGCGAACTTTCGTATTGAAAAATATTCACTTCTTCTCCTAATCGTTTTCGGATTCAGAGGCATACAAGATTTTCACGTTCTATTCCCCATCGCATTAAAAAGTATTCACCCGCGATCCAATCTGAGAGCAGAATTCACGACAAAATCTCGTGAATGCGAAACAATACTTTTAAATACGACATTTTATACAGGACTAATATTTAATAAAAGCGCGATTAAATTCGCATAGGATGAAATTCCATTCTTTAAAGCTACCATGACCTTTAATTATTCCCTGAAAACGGCGTCACAACAACTTACACTCTGTACAATTAGTTGCTAACACATTTTCTAATCGTATACATTCCTCTTTAATTAACATAAAGCTAACAAATGTCCGATGCTTCGACAGAGTAATTTTCTTTATTTTCAGTAATCAATAAATAGAGTGCATCAATGTCGCGTACAGTTGAAAGGCCTCCTCGCATTCCCCTCGTCGTTCCGAAACCTTCGAGAAAACAAGAGACGCTCAAAGGCAAGTCTCTCTTGCTTCAACTGCCGCCGAGACCCGCAATGTTTACATCGCGCCGATTGTGTTGATCGGCTCGCGAGCGACGACACTTTTTGCCCTTCGTATTATAATACTCGCGCACCTCATGTATTCTACCTCATTCCATCAGCAGCAGCCATGCGCGACGCTCTCGTCACTTCCATCTCGTGTAATTAAAAGAAATATATCTCGTCGGTCCTCGAGATACTCAATCGGCATCGCGTCGGCATCTCATTCATTAACTGCACGGTCGAATCGCGAGTATCAGCATTAGAAGCGTGAGCGAGTGAAATCCGGAGGACTTCAGCAGTCGAGAAGCAGAACGCCGGCAGCGATACGTCACGTTTCCAGGTATGTGGAATCATTTATTACGCGGGAGGTCTCCGATAACGAGAGCGTACGTTTGACGAATTTTCCGGGAATAAGAAGTCGGAATTTCGCGCTCGGCATTCACAATCCGTCATCATCCGACTTGTAATCATCACTTTATGAATTTGCAATTACTCTCGTCAATCTCTGTCTGTCTATCTATTTATTGCGTTGTTGTATACAAAAGATATTGATCCAGACAGAGACGGATAACGGTCCATGGACGTGGATCTCGAATTCATCATGTTCTCAATCAAACATTCTGAATCATTCCCAATTCCTGTGTGAGAATATTGGTCTCGTGTAGAATATTCAACGTCATATCGCTTCTTAGACTGCGACCTTTTTTGTTTTCGGTCAGCGCTTCTTTCAAGTTTGTTTACTCTTGTTACGGGATCTGAATTTAAATGTCCATCCGTAAAAGAATATTTTCGAGAGCACACAACTGTTGTCTCCGCTTCTTATTGTCATTTTCTTTCGTCAGCTCTTTCAAGAGCTCCTATCTAGATATTCAATGTCAATAAAGAAAAAAAATCGTAGCGAATATTCTCCACTCATCCCGACCAACCATTTTTTCTCTACCGCAGCTTACCAATCAAGAACGCTAAATTTTTGTTCCAGACGTTGCGAGAAGCAAGTCCGGTAGACGCGGATGCCGCACCGGAGGATCCGGTTCGGGCAGAGCAGGGTCGGCCGGAAGGTAAAGTTTACAAGTTTCCTACACATATGTATTCAACTCTTTACGATCTTTGCCTTTGTAACTTGTTCCTCATCAGCTCTCTTGAAAGCTTCAAGTCCCATTTAAATTTTCAATGTTGGAACGAAAATATAAAGATAAAAATTCCGTATCAAAATATATCCGTATTTTCGATTGGTCCCGATCAAAGATATTCTCTCTCTACCGCAGGTTATCAACCGGGAAAATTATTTTTCTGTTTCAGTTGTTGCGGAAAGCAACAGCAATCCGGTGGACGCGGATGCCGCACCGGAGGATCCGGTTCGGGCGAAGCAGAGTCGGCTTGAAGGTAAGTTTACAAGTTTACTATAGTCCTCTGTTTGACCCTTGGCGATCTAGAGCTGGGATATAATTTCCGGCTCGACTTGAATTACGATCGCAGAGGGTAAACTACTCTTTTACTCGCCCGCACTCGTTGGTCAAATCTGATGAGCAAATGTGAATTTTTTGTTACAGAGTTGAAGCGGAACGTGGCCGGCTCTGACTGCAAGTCGTTTCGGTGAGTCAAAATGAAAAGAGAAACAAAATTCTGCATGACGGATGTGGGACTAAAAAATATCGTTCGAGTCAATGCGAATTGCAAATAGACACTTGCATATGTATATTTGTGACGTCGAATAAAATACATTGCTCGAAACAATCAAGGGATTACTTGATCGATAACCTGCATTACATACAAGATTTAAAATACTGAATGATTCTCTTTTGATGTTCAGTCATCTGAATAAGAGAATATTCATATGTACAAACGCGACACCGACATCAGCTGCTTTATTTTTATTTTTCAAGCAGGCCGCAGAATTACTTAACGATTTAATTATTTGACAATATTCAATTGTCCGTATAAAATATA